AGAGAGAGAGAGAGAGAGAGAGAGAGAGAGAGAGAGAGAGAGAGAGATAGAGAGATATGGATGAAAGAATGGAGCGTGGGAATCTTAAAACCGTAGTTTCTATGCTTTCCTCAATCTTGTCTTGCAGCCCCCCCTGTCTTCCAGAAGACCCCACCAGTTTTGGTAGAGATCCAGGACCAAAAATCTGTCACCCTCTCCTGTTCGGCCACCGGCAACCCACCGCCTCTTGTCTCTTGGAAGAGAGACAGCCAAACCATTGACAATGGCAATGAAATGCAGGTAGGTTGTTTCCGGCGTGTCTGTTATAGCAGGGGTCCCTAAGCAACTGGGCCACGCAAACAGCGGGCAAGCGTGCACACAACTGTACTTGTGCAAGTGGTGGGACCCTCCCCTTTCCTCCCCCCCCTCCCCCACTGGTGCTCCAAGCTGGAAAGGTTGGGGATCACTCTGTTTGCAGTAAAACCTGGATTGAACCGCCTGATTGAAAGGAAGGGTCTGTTATTCCCAATGGTCCGTTAAATACAAAAGTACATCCTTGGCATCCGTTTAGAAAATGGCACACGTTTAGAAAATGGCACAAAATGACTTAACGACTACAATGGTGACCAGAATTTCCAGTGCTAAACAAGGAAGTTGTTAAGTGAGTCTGTGTGGATACCTGACCTGCTGCATCCAAAATCCATTAAATGGAGATCCATTAAATCAGAACGTTGTGTTAAATCAGAGCGTTGTTCCGCCCAGTGGCCTGAAGACCCGAGTTGTCTTCAGCAGGATACAGGTCAGCCTAAACCCGTATGTTTGGTTTTTTTTCCAGGTGAAAAATGGGACTCTCTTTATCTCTAGAGTCGAACGGACGTCGGCTGGCCTGTATTCCTGCCACGCCACCAATCAAGAGGGCGCTCTCATTCACACGACCCGCCTCCTCGTCCAAGGTAAGTCCTTTCCGACCTGGAGAGGTTAATGAACCAAAAGAAGAACCATACAATCAGTCGGAAGGGACTGATAATGATTGTGGTGATTTGCGGTCGTAAGTCATTTTTTTTGCAGCGCCCTTGCAACTTTGAACAGTCACTAAACGAACTGTTGTTAAGTCCAGGGTTACCTGTATCCAAGAAACATCTGGACCATTCCTTTAAATGGCTAGCATTCCGGTTAGATCGAGAGGCTGTCTTCAACTTGCAACCACTCATTTAATGACCTCTGTTCTGCTCAGTTTCTGCAGAAATTACGAGTTTTCCGTCCTCTGTTTCTGCCAGGGCCACCGGTGATTGTAGTCCCTCCCAAGGACGTCACGGTCAACCTCAGCCAAGATGCCTTTTTTGCTTGCCGAGCTGAAGCTTATCCTGCCAACCTCACCTACAGCTGGTTTCAGGGCGGCACCAACGTCTTCCATCTCAGGTAAGTGTTCTGACCCAGCTCCCCAAACACGACAAACCTTTAAATCCACGATTCTTTTATTAGGAGCGCCGGCGGTTCCGGCAAAAAGTTTCTCTCTCGCCACAGGCTGACAGGTCCGTCTGGCAGGGAGATGAATAGTTGTCTACCACACCTATTTATCTCCGCCTTTGATCCCCAGAGCTAGGGTGGGGCTTCGCTAGCAGCGGTAGCTTTTCCATCCCAAGGGCCGGCTCATAGATTTCCACTGCTCTCCTCTCCTCTGCCTTCTGCACATCCATGTATCAGGCACTGGACCCGGCTGTTCCTCTTCTTCTTCATCAGCCCCCTCCAGACCTGGGGGCTGTTGACTTTCCACCTGAGGGCTGACGGATGGCTCAGGCTCCGCCTCTGTTTCTCTACCGGCTCCATTCTCCCTCTGAGCTCTCAGGTTGTCTTGATACTGACCCTGACTTGGAGGGTCTGGTGGCCAACAGGCCACAACAGTAAGAAAAGGGGAAGGGAAAACAAAAAAAAAAAAGAGAATTCTCTCTTCAAGTGGCCGAGTTTGGAGATCCCCTGACCTAGAATGACAATACATCTGTCTCTTGACGCTTCTTCCGTTTGACTTCCTTTTTCCTTCCTGGCCTCCAGCCATCTCCGGTCACGGATTCAAATCCTGGTGGACGGAAGCCTTTTGGTCCAGAAATCGACCCCGGAGGATTCGGGAAAATATACTTGCATTCCCAGCAACGGGCTTTGGAAATCGCCATCCGCTTCTGCCTTCCTTACGGTTCTGTGTAAGTGGCTGCCTAATTACGATCGCATCTTCTTCGTTACCTCGGATCATTCATTGGTACCGTGTTTCTCATATAATAAGGCTGGGTCTTATTTATTTTTTTTGAGCCCCGAAAAAATGGCTAGGCCATCTTTTCGGGGGTGACTTAATTCCCGCCCCCTTGCATCTTCGGGCTGGCGGCGACGGCTTGGATGTTGACCTCGGCATTGGTGGGACACTTCGTATCGGGGTCAACGCAGGCAGCACCATATCCGGGTGTGCAACAAAAGTACTTCCTAGCGGCAAGCCCCCCCACCATTCCCCCCCATTTCGCCTGTTTTAATATAGGCCTTAATTTGGGGGAGGGGCTTAATTTCATTTCATGCCTATAAAACATGCTGGGACTTCCTATTGGGGGAGGCCGTATTGTTTGAGAAACAGGGTAGAAAATGACCTGAATGGGGTTTGAGGTGAAGAGATATCCTTTCCTTGTTTTGTATTTTGTGGGGTATCCGTTGGATTCATTCAAACCCCCCCCCTCCCAAAGGAATCTCACCATTTAATAGTGGCAAGATTACACCCAAACAATGATATCAGCACTTTGCCAATGGCCTAATTCAAGTCTTTAACAGAATAACGGACGGGACTTTGAAGGTCTTCTAGTCCACCCCCCTTGCTCAAGCAGGAGACCTACACCGTTACAGTCAAATGGCTTTCTAGTTTCTTCTTAAAAACCTCCAGGGATGGAGCCACCCACAAGGGGAGGAACAAGTGTAGAACATTGAAGGGAGGAACAAGAAAAAAACGGATGGAAAACTAAGCAAGGAGAGAAGCAACCAGGAACTTAGGAGAAATTTCCTAGCAGTGAAGGACAATTAACCCATGGAACAATTCGCTTCCAGAAGTTGTGGGCGCTTCATCACTGGAGGTTTTTAAGAAGAGATTGGATAACCATTTGTCTGGAATGGGATAGGGTCTTCTCTCTTTCACACTTCTTGACCTCACACTTCCTATTGTTGACATCATGTCCCCTTCACTAGGTGTAGTTCCTTTCTTGCCTCTTGGTCCCCCTCTTGACTTCACAATCTACCACATCTCCTTACCTAAACCTAGTTCTTTTCTGGCTTCTTGGCAGCTCACAATCCTAGTCACAGGGACCTCCTTACCTAAACCTAGTTCCGTTTCTAGCTTCGTGGTCCACCCCTTGACCTGGTGGTTCTAGTCCCAGGGACCTCAGCATCCTTGTCCTCCTGTTCTGCCACCTACTTTCTTCCTGTCCACCTCTTCGTCTCATAATCCCACCTCTGCCATCAACTCTTCTTCACTAGATCTACTTTCTTTCTATCTTCTTGGTCCACCCCTTGAGCTCACAATCCTAGTCCCAGGGATCTCCCAATCCCAAACCCCTCTGTGATGACCCAAAGGGGCGTGGCACAAAGGAAACACAGTCAGATAAGCAAGAAGAGTCCCTTTATTAGCTCCCAACTTTGCCCCCAATGTCCTGGTTACCTTCTGGGCTGGAGAAAAACTCTCCCAGGAACAGCCTTTGGCTGCAGAGAATCAAGTCCAAAACAGGGTCAACACAAACTAACTATAAGTCCAATCAAGATGAGGTAATTAGTCCAGCAGGGCAGGAGAAGGAATTCCAGGTGTGAAGGAACAGCAGTAATTCAACACAGTTGGGAGGATGCCAGGAACATAGATAACCAAAGTCAACACAAGATAAATTCACGTTTGTTCCCCGCAGATGCCACACTCAGCATGCATCTCTTTTAAACTCTCTTCCCAGTTGTGGCTAGTGAAGGGAATCAGGGCCCTTTCCTCCCCCGTAAGCCACGCAACCCACGTTGCTCCCTTCTCTGTTCCTTCCTGCGTGCCCTAGGATGAAGAGTGGGGTGGGCCTGGGTCTTCCTATGAACTCCTTCTCCCCTTGTTCTTCCCCCTGCTCTGCCCAGCCGGACTTTGCCCTTCTACAGCCACCTCCACAGCCAACGGAGCCACACTCCCACTCCCTGTGTCAGCTGTTCGTCTTCCTCCTCGGATTCAGACTCCGACAGGGACATGACACCCTCCTTTGTTACCCCCTAGTCCTTCTAGCTTCCCTCCCTAATATCCCTGATCTCGCCATCCCACCGTTGACCCCAAGCTGTCCTCCACCTCAACAGACCCAGCTCAAGTCGCTAAGATGCCTCCAGAGACCTTTCTGCCAATTGGTATGCAAGGCATAATCCGGTGCCCCAGCAGAGCTAACCCTCCCCTGCTCTCGGTCAGCTGGATCAAAGACGGGCAGCCGCTGGAGATTGGCAAGGTACGTTTTGGGAGGCTGAGGCACCCTCTGCGCCCCGCCCTCCAAAGCATTTTTGGTGTTTTCTCCCATTCTTTTTCTGAGCCCCTGCATTCTCCCTCTCTTGCAGTTCCCAGGTTGGTCCCTGAAAACCGACGGGACGATAATCATCGCCACAAGCAACGATGACGCCCTGGGCGTGTACGCCTGTACCCCGTACAACAGTTTTGGAACAGCTGGTATTTCGGCACCCACGCGGGCTCTCCTCAAAGTGAGTAAGAAATTGGGAGACAAAAATACGAATATGGATAAGAGAAATTACGAAAATTCAATCAGAATTTAGGGCAGAAATGTTTTTATTGGGAATAATAAAAGGTGAATACGCAAAAGAAATAAAATGTAGTGCTTGCACAACGCTGGAAGGGTGGTCAAATGCCAGTAGAAAATTTGGTAATCCAGAAAGTCTTCGATTGCACTGAAATGGACAAACGTACCCTAAAACTAAAAGAAAAGGAAGACTCAAAATATTATACAGTCTGGGAAAACTTGTATAATTGGATAAATAATAGAAACCAGCGAGTAAATAGATAAGGAAGGGAAAATATAAAGAGGTTATAATAAGAGTATTAACCAGATATACGAAATAAGTATTGGAATATTGTTTGATAAGGAGGTACCGTCTAAGAAATTTGAAATTTATATGTCCTATGTTTTTGGTTTTGTTTTTAACGAAATGTTTTGTATTTTGTATATATCTTTTTAACGTTTAATAAAGTTTATTTAAAAATTTAAAAAAAGAATGAAAGAAAGAAAAGCGGGGTGGGTGGGGGCGGGACAAAATGAACTCTCCATAAAACATTCCAGGCGTCTCCGTCTCTCGTAGTGCCGGCAGAGATATGGGGGTTCTAGGTCACCCAACTTTGGCAAATTTTGAGACGCGTGGATTTCAACTCCCGTTTAAGCCATTTATCGGCAGTTTTAGGCGGTTTTTCTAGGAAATGTTCTGCTGCCCTGGTTAGACCACACTTGGAATACCATGTCCAGTTTTGATCACCGCGATATTAAAAAAAAAGTTGTTGAGGTTCTAGAAAGAGTGCCGAGAGGAGCAAGGCAACCGAAAAAGGATTTGGAGGCTAAATCGTATACTCAGCGGTTGTGGGAAATGGGAACTTGGGGTGTCCAGCCATCTTCCAATATTTGAGGGGTTGCCCCAGAGAAGAGGGGGGTTCAACCTACTTTCCAAAGCATCTGAAGGCAGGACAAGAAGAAATGGATGGAAACTTAACAAAGATAGAAGCAACATAGAACTATGGTGGGATTTCCTGACAGTTAGAACAATTAGTGGAATGGCTTGTCTCCAGAAATTGTAGGTGCTCTATTACTGGAGATTTAAGAAGAGACAGGACAGAAGTCTGAACCAGTATAGGGTCTCCTGCCAGAGCAGGGGGGTGGACTAGAAGACCTCCAAGGTCCCTTCCAACTAAGTTAAGAACGACTTCTGTATTCTCTTCTTAATGGTGGTGTATGTTTTCTGTGGAATACCATTTTTCAGGACCCTCCCACGTTCACCCTTCGGCCCAAAGAGGAATATTTCCAGGAAGTGGGTCGGGAGCTGCTAATTCCATGCGTGGCTCAAGGAGACCCCCGACCCATCACTTCTTGGACAAAAGTGAGTCGCACAAACTGGACCATTCCTGATAGTTTACTTTACTTTACTTTATTGTCATTGCACCTTGTACAATGAAATTAAATAACACCTTCGGTGTACAATTTATGACTACGAAAATAAACACAAACAAACATCCTTCACATTCTGTACAATTGAATTGAAAACCTCTGATATTGCATTCCTATTGCACTATACGGTAGAATTCAATAGAGCTACTGCTATACTATACTACTGGGATAGAAGCTGTTTTTCAGCCTATTTGTCCCTCTTTTTATTATCCTGTACCGTCTGCCAGATGGTAATAGTTCAAAAAAAAAAAAGGATCCCAGGATGAGATGGATCTTGGAGGATGTTTTGAACTTTCTTAAGGCAGCAGGAGCTATAAAGCTCTTTCAAAGAGGGGAGAGGACAACCACTGAACCAATGTCTCGCTTAAGAACCGAAATTTTTTACTTTATTGTCATTGCCTCTCGTACAATGAAATTAAGTACCATTTTCAGTGTACATTGTGACTATGAAAATAAAACACAAACACACATTCTTCACATGCTACACACTGAATTGAAATCCCCCGATATTGCATTAATATTGTACTATGCAGTACAATTCAATAGAGTTACTGGGATAGAAGCTGTTTTTCAGCCTATTTGTCCTTGTTTTTTTATTATCCTGTACCGTCTGCCAGATGGGTAATAATTTAAAAAAAAAAAGGGTGCCCAGGATGAGATGGATCTTTAAGGATTCTTTGAACTTTCTTAAGGCAGAAGGAGCTATGAAGTTCTTCCAAAGAGGGCAGAGGGCAACCCGTGATCCTCTGGGCAATATCGTTCACCCTCTGGAGCTCTGCCCTATATCTGCCCTGGTGCAATTGGCAAACCATATAGAGGTGCATAGATTTGGTAGTTTAAAAAAGTTGATCTTTTAAGACTGCCTGCTGCATGCTGAACCTACCCAGCTTTCACCTCTCAAAACAGAATATAAAAACTTGGAGGCGGGGGGGGGGGGGAATATCACTTAAATGACTGCTTTGCAGAGCGACAGAGATGCCGGTCCCGATGCAGGGCCGTTAAGGGAGGACTTTCTTTCTATGTAACACAATTGGGTTGCTTTGTTTGTTTGGCAGGTGGGCAGCAAGACCCTGGCCAACGCGCAGGTGGGCACGAACGGCAGCCTGATCCTGCAGCCACTGACGAAGGAACAGCATGGCTTGTGGGAATGTGCCGCTAACAACGGCGTGGCCAGGGTTAGTGCCGCCACCACTGTCTACGTCTTGGGTGAGTTCTTAACTCAGAGGGCAGGGCAGATGAGGTCCCTAACCGCCTGGGACCCTATTGAGAAATGTTTCGGTTTCGAGACAATTTTTGCGAGGAACCGTCGTGTTTGAACAGGTGCATCCAATTTGCTCTTGATGTCCTCCGTGGTCACTAAACGGGGCAGGACACTCGTTGTGATTGGGAAGTACGCCTGAGCCTTAACTTAACAACCACAGTTGAGGCCCAAATTTCCGTGTGTAGGGAGGCGGTGCTTAAGTGAGTTCTGCCCCGTTTTACTCCCTTTCTCCCCGCAGTTCTTAAGTGAATCACTGCAGTTGTTAAGTTAGACATAGTGGGCAGGCTCCGTTACGGTCATTAAGTGGAGGTCTTGCCCATTCATCAGAGTCAACAATGGAAGGAAAACTCCAGATTAGTTATACCCTAAAATAGGGGGTCGCCAACCTTGTGGACTTCAGGGACCACCAAACTCATAATTTTAAATCCCGCGGACCAGAGACCCTGGAAAAATCCCCAAAAAAGTCTGCAGGAAAATTTCCCGCCCTGTTTTCCTACCGATCGATCGTTCTTTATTTGGGATCGCTGGATATCGTCTCCAGCTCCGTTCTCGGGGTGGAGGGGAGAGAGAAAGAGAGACTTTTGGCTTCATGCAAGGAAAACAGCAGATGCAGCAGAAATCTTTCTTTCTCTCCCTCAGACTCCATCAGAAATGAGTCTTTGTGAGACTTGTCATGCCACCACAGCCTCTTGGAGCAGGAGGCCTTGCAGGGTCCCAAAGACTCATTTCTGGTGGAGTTTGGGGGAGAGAAAGAAAGACTTTTGCTGCTTTCCTTGCGTGCAGCCCAAAGCAGAAGAAGAAAGAAGCAACCCGGGGGCCAGGCCAGGCGAGTGGGGCGAGTTCCCCTCCACCATCCTTTCCCCCCTCCGCTCACTACCTCGTGTTGTTCACAATGCAAGCGATGCAAGCCTTGTGTTCCCACAGACCATGGATTAATTGCTCTGGGGGTGACATTTCTCTGCGGACCATCAACATTTTCGCGTGGACCACCAGTGGTTCCCAGCCCATTAGTTGGCGACCACCGCCCTAAAAGACAGCTCTATTCATACTTTATCATGCCGGATGCTGTGATTTTTATTTTTATTTTTTAAATGCCAGTCAGGGAGGTAATAAGAGAGTCACCTTTTTGGATGGATACTTTTCTGATAGATTTGATTCACTAAAAACCTTCCCTAAATTCACCCTACAGTTTCCCAATTGATCCCAACCAATGCACAACATCACAAGCCCCAAATCAAAAGGGGACCCCAGGACGCTGCAAGCGTCATAAATACGAGTCAGCTGCCAAGCCTCTGGATTTTGATCACGTGACCAGAGGGATGCAGCAAAGATCATAATGTGAATAAACAGGCATCAGTCACGTTTTCCCCATTGTAACTTCAAACAGTCCCTAAACGAATAGTTGTAAACCTGTTGTTATACCCCAAAATTCTGTCGGGCAAAATCACACCCTTAAATCTCTTTATTGATGTCCTTCCACTGAATTGAGTTAAACTGATGCAGCTCCCTTTCTCCCCCCCCCCCCCCCCCTCCCCCCCCCCCCCCCCCACGTCAGGTACCAGTCCCCACGCCGTGGTCAACGTGTCCGTGTGGCCCCTACGACAAGCAGTCAATGTAACCTGGGAACCAGGGTTTGATGGGGGTTATTTCCAGAGATTCAGCATCTGGTACACGCCAATGTAAGTCTTTGGGGCCATTCTCCGTCTCCGTCTCAGCTGTCCTATTTCCCCCCTTTCCCCCCCTCTCTCTTTCTGTCAATATTAAAAATACTTTCCAGAGGTTTCATCCCAAAATCCCATCTGTATTTCTGTTGTATGAAATTCGTCCCTCTGTTTTAAGCTGGCATTGGGGTGGGTGGGTGGGGGCTCCATGTTTTTCTCTTTTTTTTTAAACACACTTTTGTTTCAAAAAATTTGTATTAAGTTATAGAGTTACTATAAAATACAAAAGTAAATAGAAGAACAGTGGGAGGGGAAAAGGGGAAGTGAAGGGAGGAAAGATAGGTAAAAGGTAACGGTTCCCCTTGCACGCACGTGCTACTCGTTTCTGGCTCTAGGGGGCGCTGCTCATCTCCGTTTCAAAGCCCGAGAGCCAGCGCTGTCCAAAGACGTCTCCGTGGTCATGTGGCCGGCAGGACTAAACACCGAAGGCGCATGGAGCGCTGCTCCCTTCCCACCAAAGGGGTCCCTATTTTTCTACTTGCATTTTTTTGTTACGTGCTTTCGAACTGCTAGGTTGGCAGAAGCTGGGACAAGGAACGGGAGCTCACTCCGTGATGAGGCGCTAGGGATTCGAACCACCGAACTGCTGACCTTTCTGATCAACAAGCTCAGCGTCTTAGCCACTGAGCCACCGTGTCCCTTAGGAAAGATGGCGGGGGGTGGCAGGGAAGAGAAAAAGAAGCATTGACTTCTGACTCTGTTACAGTGAAACGAGGCATTAACATCAAATCACAGCTTTTTGCTTTTCCATCATGGTGCGAACGAGTCGATTCTATAAAGATCTATCGATCTAATCCAGGGGTGTCCAACCTTGGCAACTTTAAGACTTGTGGACTTCAACTCCCAGAATTCCTCAG